CCCCCCCCCCCCACACCCCAAGTTACCCGAACTCTCAGTCTAAAACACTTCCACAATTCCACTGTCAAGGATTCATGTTACATCAGCAATGGTTTCTCATCAAGATTCGTCAGCTAACTATATGCAGTAGTAGTCACCCATGAAGGATAAATGTTCAGTTATTGCAGGATTAAATCTAAGACCATTTGGCTGCCCGTGAGAAGTCGGTACATATTTGCAACTACAGTACAAAGAAGCAAAGTTCCTGTAATAGTTACTCGTGAGTGCCCACGGTTGCTAGTTGAAATGATCCACTGATGTGCCATGACATAGAAACCTGCCATAGTTTTGTTGTTGCTGCTGCCCCAACAACAATACCCCAGAGGCACAGAAGCCTGGGTTATAATAGACCCCCATCAGTCCTTTCCTCAATGATGTAAACCACTAGTCAACTGCTTACAAGCAAGCAAACAATGGCCTGCTTAATAGAGCAGCAAATAATGGAAGTACGTACCATTGATCATTCAAGAGAAAGAAGCATCAAGGCAGTTGAATGTTAAACGCAACCTCAATACTCCGTGTTCCTACAATATTGCAGACTGTTCGTAAAAGCCCAGCTATTCATAAAACATTGAGTAATACGTTCACCCCAATAAATACTACTACAGCTAATGTTTTAGCACATCAACATATCATCTACATAAACACAGCAGACCCAAATACAAACACATTAATCTTGGTTTCCTGAGCTTCTGTTAACTGCATGAATAATTTACAAGCAACTTCGGGTGACTTCAGCCCTTGGTCAGCAGCACTAGCCTGCCCTAATAGATGTAACTGCTGCAGATAACTATTTTCCTGTGAAAAGTACATGAAGGTTAGCGATGGAACACCTTTCTAGAAAATAAGCAAGTAAAACTCAAGTGTATAGCAACATCGACATCATTCAACAATACAAACACATCCCACTTCCAATCATTAGGTAAAGACCAAAAGTAAAGAGAGAGATTTTCTTACCCACAAAAAAAGAAGGGGGAATATAATAAAGCAAATAGAGAAATAGTTCAGTGTGTCATTTTCGTGTCAGAAAGAGAGGGAAGGAGATAGAATCCTATGCTACAAAAGTATTGCAAAGGTAATTACTGTTTCCAAGTCAAAATTCATACATCCTGTTCCTCAGGTGGCACAATACCATGTACAAGAAGACATAGAACCTCATACTCTTACCCTGGCAATACGCACAATACACACCATATGACAATTTTGTATCCGGAATTTTGGCAATTAGTCATAATTATTTTCAATATAAAACATAAAATTACAGGCTCTGCAACACAGGGATGGATAACTATATTCTCAAGTAACCATAGCTTATCCCATATGTCTTCTTCCTTTCTCAGTCTTGTGCACTTACTGGAAGAAAGAGGTAAAACAATTAAAACAAACAACATCATCAAAAAGGATGACAACAACTTGACCCCCCCCCCGACCCCCAACCCCAAC